AACAATAAGCGGCAGTTGTACTGAGGAGGAAAGCAATATCAAACATTATTAACTCAGCAAATTTCAGTTCCACCAACCACACAAGGTGACTCAGTGAATTAGGGAGGCGTCTGAGCTGCTTCCAGATGTTATCTGGACATTCTAGACTTCATCTTCCTTACTTTACACACCTGGTATCCTTCTCAATTACCTGGTTGGGGTGGAACATGAGTGAACTGTTCTATATTGATTCTTGTCCTTGAAGAGAAGATTTAAGAAGTTACCCCTAGAAAACTCATAATCAATATGGTGGCCATTATCCAGTGGTGTTTCACAGGATTTTGTTTTGTTTCCCATGGAGTATATATACATAAAATTGTGGGGAATGGGTATCTGGAATATTTAATTTTGAAGTATACTGCTAATATTCACCTTATCTCCCTTCTGACTGAAATTTAAAGAAGCTTCTGAAGTTCGATGTGGGTAGTACTGGTAATAGACTGAATGAGAGCAAACTGAACCTTTACCTAGACAAGACAGAGCTGTTCTTGATTAGCGAAAAACAGTGCCATCCGTAGGAACTCGCTGCTCTCATTAGTATGACAAAAGCAGCCTCATAATGCAAGCACTGTCCCTTTGGGGCATGATTTAATTATGGTTCAATATGCCATTATTGGCTTAGGGCTATTAATAGTGTGACTGAATACACGATTTGCATACAAGATCACACAGGCATCCAAGTAGATTCTTGCCTGCAACTTGGAAAACCAAGTTTTTTATTGTTAGATTTTAGTATTTATCTTGTTATTTTTAATCTGTATTTTAAACTTTTATACTGTTTTTATTTTAAATTCTGTTAGCTACTTTGAGTGCTCACCAGAGGAGAAAGGTGGAGTATAAATCAACTACTGTAATTACAGCCCTTGCCATTCAAAATAAATAGTACTGAACTGGATGGTCTAAGGATAAGGCAACTTCCTATGTTTCTGATACAGAAACATTTCTGTTAAGCTAGTTCTACATGCTTGATATTGGTAAGCATATAGAATTAGATTGTCCTACTTTGACAGATAGTCACACGGACATAAATGTCTTCTAAAGTAAGCAATTCTTTTAAAGGAGACTACTGTGATTATGTTGTGGTTTAGAAATCCTATTTCTAAATGAATTTGGGGTAATACCAATTTTCACTATGTATGGACCTGTGCTGCCTTGGAAAGAGCTGGTCTGCAACTTAGGGGGACTCCCAGCTATTACTAGAACTACAGATGGAGCATGTGGCCAGGGGATCCTTCACCCAGCTTCAATTGGTGTACCAGCTGTGGCCATTTCTGGAACAAAACGCAGTGGCCACTCATGCCCTTGTTAGCTCATGGACAGTCAACTGCAATGCATCTGCCTTTGAAGGTCATCCAAAAACTACCAACTTATACAAAATTTAAGACTGCTTATTGAGAACATGTGTTGTAGTCAGCCAAGATACAGCAGGTTCCTTAGGATTCAGAAACAATAGGCTCAAACCAGGGTGAAAAACAAAAAAGGATTTTACCAAATAAATATTAAGAGAATCACAGAGAAAGAAAGATATACCAGTCTGATTCCTTCAGCTTGCCTTGAACTCCAATAGCAGCAGATGGACACCCTGGAACTAGCAAATGCACAACATCCTCCTAGGGCTTTGGATCTGTACTGAGGTTCAAACTGTCTGATGGGTTTTGCCAATTTTTCATACTTTTCTTAAGAGACAAGAAATATAAGCAGTAACACCTGAGTTGGCTTAGTAGCACATCTTATCAGGGAATTGGTCATAACTTCAGACAGTGGATTTTCTGCCAGGGATATTTTTAGGGAAGAGAGGATCACTAACAGATAACACTTGAGGACAGCTGATGACATTCTTGGTCAATAACTTGGAAATCTAGATAAGCAATTCTTTTCCAAGAACATTTTTATGAGAACATTGCTTCTAGAATGCCACTATTGTTCTTCCTTCCCTTAGCAGTGTTAGATTAAGGAGCTGGTGTTATCCTCTTTAACTTAATTGTTATAAGGAGGAATACAGGTAAGAGGCTTTCAAGTGAAAGGGATTAACAATGCAATGATGCAATCTGCAAAGCTTGCTTCTTCTAAGCTTGTGGAGGAATTCATACACATATTGCCTCAGTTGGCTAAATAACACTTCCTACATGTTGGAAAATATGGGGTTTCAACCAAGCCTGTCTCACACAAGCACAAAGGGAGGGGTGGCTTTGCTGCGGCCTAGCTTTGCTGCTTTGTGTGGGAGGGACTTGGAGCCCGCCTTTTTTTCCTGTTTCCCTCATTTTCTTCTCTTCTCCTCATGGCTCTCCACAAGGTAGGAATGAATCCTCTTTCCTCCTCATGGGTTTTGAATTAACATTTCACAGTTAATTACACTACACTACACAGGTATTTCTTAATACTGTATATGTGCAAAGGGAAAAAGGAATTCACATCACTGTCTCCTCACCAATCTTCTGTGGTGCCAATAAAAAGGACAACCCATTACTGCCATATAACACCAGTATGAGAGCTATATTGGTTGCAGTTCTGAGTGCAATACAAGGTGCTAGTTATAACTCTTAAAGCTGTACATGATTTGGGACCTGGTTACCTCCAAGGCTACTTACTCCAAATAAAATCTGCCCACCCAAGATGTGCCAGTTGAGGGGTCTTGCTGAGAGTCTTCATCCCATGAGGTACAATGTGAGAGGACTTGGGAGCAAGCCTTCTCCACAGGGGCTCCCCTCTTATGGTATGTACCCCTGGATATAAGAGCTTCCCCTCATTCCTAATTCTTAGAAAACTTGTGGAAACCTGGCTCTTCCTAAGAGTGTTGACGAATGACACATGAGTAGTGGGAAGTACCTGGCACAGATGAGATACTGATGATTTCTGGGATGATGGATTGCTAAAGCCAGTTTTATATGTTGATATTTAAAGATTATGATTGTTTTTATGATTGTGTTGCCACCATATTGCTGCTGTGAGCTACTTAGAGTTGTAATGACTAAAGAAGCATTTGAAATAAATAACCTATAGTGCAAACCTTTTCACCCCTCATAATGGAAGGAACAGAAGAGAAACTTTCTGTATCTTCATATATAATTGAAGCAACTGAATAGAAAGCAACTATCATTTGAAAACTCTGCATGCAGAGCTACAAACATTTTTCTTGCATGTGTGCTTTGTTTGGCAACAACAAAATTTGACATCCTGTTGGATTCATCAAATGACCTGCCAAGATACATTTCTGCTGCCATCTAGTGGTTGCCTGGAGTTTTGCAGCTCAGCTACAGTAGTCCTACTAAAATAGGAATATAAAAGTTATAGAGTTTTTGACCCCCTACCTCACTAACATCTATTGAAAACAGCTGTCCAATGATTCTGGTAGGAGTTTTTAAAATCTTACTGGACCTTCTGCATGTTAAGCAGCAATTCCACAGAAATGGTGCCCTTCTTTTCATTTGGAAATATTGGTAAGTGTTCTATACAGAATTACATAGAAGTCTATGGAAAGTATCATTTCTGGGAGGCCTAGGTTGATAAAATACATTAAGATATAGAATTAACTTTCCTTTAACACTTTTGATTAGACATGTTTCAGCTTGCTAACTCAAATGTAAGTTTTGCATTACTTGAATTTTGAACTGTTCACATCCTCTTGGAACCCCATGTTCATACAGCATGGATACAGCTTAAGAAAACTAGCATTTCTGACAGTTCAATGAATGTGCAACCTAGACAGGACGCCTATGAAGATAGACAGGCTTAGATATAATTCTGGTTTCATTAACTGGAATTTCACCAACTTTCCTTAAAAGCAATACATCCATATTCCAGAAGATCCCTGCATTCTCATACATCATTCTAAATCCTCTATCCATTTCCTGATCTCACGTGTTCTTCAGCTATTCCTCCTCTTTTTGTAACATATATATGGAACTTAGCTGCATGAACTGAAATCTGTAATATGACAGAAACTGGGAAATCCCATTTTGAAAACCCATGAAATGAGTTTGGATAACAATGGTCAGTGCCCTATTGCAGGAAAAGTAGGAAAATAAGTGGATAAAACAAGTTTAAGAGAAAGGAGGACAGGTTTTTGCAGAGGCTGAGTATGTGACAAAAAAAGTTATGAAAAGGACATGCAGAGAAGTTACAGTGCTTAGTTTCCAGATCACTTAGAAAAGAAAAAAAAAGTTACCTGTCCTTGTCTGCTGGCTTAGCTTCTTTTGGATAAAGTAAGAGGGAGAGGGGAGAGGGATTGTTCAATCTAGTTCTCCTCTGAATAAAAACAAAAGGGATAGAGAGAAAGCAACACCTTTTTTATATAGGATATCTGTCAGAGGCACAAGTTCAGGTGCAGTCTGCTAAGAAAAATGGGACAAAAAGTGGGCAATAATGACCAACAGAGAGCCAGTTTGCTGTACTGGTGAAGGCCCCAGGCTAGAGACTGGGAGTGCTAGTCCCACCTTAGGCACAAAGCCAGCTGGGTGACCTTGGGCCACTCACTCGCTCTCAGCTCTAGGAAGAAGGAGGCAATGGCAAGCCACTTCTGAAAAAAACTTGCCAAGAAAACTGCAGGGACTTGTCCAGGCATTTAATAACAACACCATAACAAAAAGGAAACTCGTGTTAAACCGGACTTATACAACAGCACATATAAAGTAAGTAAAAGGCGAAGGGGCAAGAAGAGGAGATGAAGACTCAGTCGTTCCCGCTTACTGCAAATGTGCATACGGTTGGGCAGAACCGTCGTTAGCAGCATGCTTGGCTTTTCCATAGTTCAGTGATGAAAATGAACAATAATTAAGATGGAACCTTCATTGTTACCAGCCTGTCAAGTCCAGCATAATCTTTTATTGACTAGAGTTTGCTGTTTCCTTCGATTCATCGATATGAAACAGCTTCTAAAGCGTCCTCGGCCCATCCAGTCCGTATCACCGGCGATTGGCGGACCGGAGGAAGATCCTCCTCCTCTACGCTCTCCTTCCCCTTCGAGAAGAGGGCAGGTCGCGGCGAGGTACTTTTGAGCCTTTCTTGCTGCCGTAGATTGTATACTGCGGCAGCGCCGACAGGATCTCTGGTAAGGGCAGGCTCAGGATTTTATGGAGCGGAGTTCGGCGGTAGTAGGTGCCGTGAGGCGCCTCCGCACCCAGGCGCCGCCCCCGCTGCAGAATCACAACCGGCAGCAGCAGCAGCAACGCTGGGAAAAGGAGAAAAATGGACGGGACAGTAAGAAAAAGCCTGCAGGAGGAAGCGCGAGCCTTCTTCCGGAGATGCTCACGGCGCTCGTGCTGCTGCTGTACTTGCTGGGGCTTCGCGGGCTTGTGCAGATTTCCTTCCAGCAGCTGGTACAGCCGACACGCGACCCTACGGAATTCGACGCCCCGCGCGCCAGGTAATTGACAGCGAGGCTCGCGCATTCCGGCACCTTCCCCCCCCCCGCTTCCTTCGTAGGGGTCCCTAAAATTGCACATTGTTGCAAATTTAGTAAATGTAATTTATCAGCTTGGAATAAGAAACACTGGTTCCTAGTTATCCTTTTGCATACGTGGTACATGAACTTTCCTCTCTTGCATCTAGTCTGTTTACTAAGGCAATTTCTTCACTAGTGTTAGATAGCAGCAGACTCCACACCTGCGTGACAATATAAAACCTTCGTCATTACCATTATATGAGGAGGTCCTATGAAAAAATGGACTTTTTCGATATGCAGGCACCTTGTGCTCTTCTGCTGTTGTCAAAGACTGGATTTTCACCCACCTTAAGTGTTTGTGTGGATTTAGCAAATGTGGCTTGTTTTCATTTGTCTCCAATATGACAGGAATCAGAGTGATGCTGCTTCCAAGTTAATAATAACATTCACAAGGGTGTTCACATTTTCCCATCACATTTTTGCCAAATGTGAAACTTTACTGGTTGATCTTTGGAAGTGGATTAGGTTTGGGCCAATGAAGTCCTTCAGTAAACTCTGAATTAAAAAAAGGTCTTCTCCTGAATTCCTGGTTTATCTCACCACAGCTGTAGTTTCTCCATTTTGTCCGTAAAGGAGAATAGTGGCCTCTGACATTTTCAACTGAGTGTAGAGGAATACATAGATAACCTTGAGCCAGGGATGCAAGAACATTTAAGGCAAAATAAGAGACAACTCAGTCCTGGGAACAGAGGAGGTATGAGAAAGAAACTCAAAATAGCCCTCCCTTGAGTCTGTTTGGCATAAGGGGGCAGAAGGAAACTGGCAGGCTTTTAAAGTTTTGTTATTATACCCTACAGCAGTAAAGGGTTTGTGGAATCCTTGCTCTGTTTTCTGACCTGGCCTACCTTGACAGTAAGGGTCCATTGGTTTTTACTTTGATTCGAGAAGGAAGGTACCAAAAGCCTTTTTTTTTTTCCTTTATGCCTCTTTGAAAAATTAATTTCATTTGCTATTTGGGCTGTGGTATGATGGACTAAGAATGGGAAAAGCAAGATTCAGCCATAGAAACTTACAGGGTGCGTTTAGGACAGTCACTCTCTCTCAGTCCAGTTTATCTCATAGAATTGGTGTGGGGATAAAATGAAGGGAAAACCCCATGTAAGCTGCCATATATATCATCTTTTTTGGGAGGAGATGGTATATAAATCTAAAAAGTACATAAATAATATTTTGCTGCTCAGAATCAACCATTTCTTCTTCGAGGCGGAAGAGTTTGTGTGTATGTGAGATTTATTTATTTATGCAATTCATCACACTGCCTCAGTCCTAATGGATTACAGATATAGTTAAACAGTTCTCACATGAGCAAGCTGTACTGATTCTCCCTCAGGTCCGCTGGATGTGCAGAGGATTTGAAGAGAAGTGAGGTCAGTCAGTCTATGTCACTTTACATGGAACTTCTGTAGAAGCCAGGATGAGCATAATGAACTTAAGAAATAAACAGTCCCTTTAAACAGTTGCAGAAAAGGCAATACTTCTCCATATAGGTGAACATGTTTTACTTGGGGTGAGTTAAGGCATCCACAGGCAGTTAAATAGTAGGTAGCTTAATTTCTTTCCTGCAGTACCTGAATAAAGGGAAGAATAACCACGCCAGTAATGAGTCACTATAGGTAAACAGCCTTTTGTAGGTCTTACCTATCTTTTGCTTTTCTACTGAGAATTTGATGTTTGTTTAAACCTTTGGTCTAAATTTGGCATAGAGCCATTTGATCTAATGGTTAAGGCACCAGGCTAGAAACCAGGAGACTGGGAGTTCTAGTCCCACCTTAGACATGAAAGCCGACTGGGTGACTTCGGGGCAGTCACTCTCTCTCAGCCCAACTCACCTCACAGGATTGTTGTGGGGAAAACAGGAGGAAGGAGTGTTATGTGTGTTTGCCACCTTGAATTATTTATAAAAATAATAAGGCGGGATAAAAAAATGTGCAACCTTCTTTTGATATGGGAACCATATAGGCAATTTAGTGTAATGTAGACAAATGATCTGTATACAATGGTCCTGTGCTTTTTCTTACAATGTTGTATAAGGCCCCTCTTTATATTTTTGAAAGTTATGAAACGGGGTGGGGGGGAGAGGGATATCACTTTTTTATACTACTTCTATTTCTTTAATCCTCTGAATATTTCTCTCATTATTCTTAGATCTATATACTGAAGTATCAACATTTTTATACCAACTTTGTATGAATAAACAATTTTTCTAGTTTTCTATGTGTATTGTTATTTTGTAGATTACTCTTGACTTTAAAAATAGGAGTGAATAGTGAAACTAAAACATTTCTTTTGATTAATAAAAGTAGCTAATATCGGAATGTGCTACTTTTTCATAATTTCTTAAGTGAAATACATATTTGAGCTTCTATCATTTATTTTTCTGCAAGGTTTGAGTTTTTTGAACTTCCTTTTTTTCAGGCTTTCATCAACATATTCATCATATGTACAAATAGCAATGATCCTTCATCTACCCTAAACCATGTTTATGTTGAATTAACTCATATTGATTTCATTATAATTTAATTCTGAGTCCTAGAATTTTTAATAACATACTCACCATATTTCATTATGAGTCCTAATATAATTGGGACTTACTTTACAAGGAGATTAGTATGATTTTTTTTACTATTTACTGTGTTACAAATCTGCTCAGTAACTAAAGTTCTTTAGGTACATTATAGATTTATCATGAAAACATTAAATGATTTTTTAAAAATCTGAAACAGTAAAATTCAAATAATCAATAAAACACTATTCTAATATAGAGTGGTTACTTTAAATCAAATTGAATGAATACAAAACTCTAAAAATGCCTGGGCGAAGACACTTTAATGCAGGTGCAGATGTATTTCCCTGGAATGGTCATGCCGTAAGCAGAGCAGGGCCAGACCCCACTGATGAGTAAAATTTCTCCTTGTAGCCTTCTAATACAGGGAAAAGGCAATAAGTTAAAAAGGCCATTTTTTTTCCAGGTTTCTATGCAATCCTGAAAAAAAGTTAATTAATTATGTGCCATCAAGTTGGTGTCAGCTCTTAGTGACTACATGGAATGATTTTTCTCCCTAACCTGGTCTTTCAGATCTTCCAGTAGTGCTCCCATTGCCAATGTAACTGAGTCAGTCCAGTGTCAGGGAAAAAAACTCATGAAACACGGGAGACAGACACACCATAAAACAAGTCACCTCAAAGTTCTAAGTTCTTCTAAGA